TTCCTTCGAAAACTATTGCTGGTAATAATTTTTTTTATTGAAAAGTATTTCTGGTATTAAAACCTATTTATACATAAGTTTGGCTCTTAACTATTTGCCCATAGCTGGGACCCTAACTGGTGCTACCACCCCGGGTCTGGGTGGACCTGGGAACAATAGCAATTAAGTGGTGTTTCCACGCTCCTCAAAACCTCCTGAACAGAGGCCTGGCTGCTGGATGTAGTTTATCGTCTTACCCAGGATACGGATGTAGTTTATCGTTATACCCTGGACGGAGATATGTTGTCTTAATACATTAGATTAAGCATTGTTATTATTATTTGATCTAATTTTTTAAAATATTATTTTATTTTTACCACAGCTCTTAATTGAATTTTACAGATTATAAGTCTTTTTCTACAGTTGACAACACTATTAAGAGGCGAAGACAATAAAAGAACATAACTTAAGAAGGCAGAAACATCGATTGACATTGCATTTACATTTCTGAAGATCCAACTTCACAGGAATGCAAAAAAGGCGTAAGCGAGTTCCACAAGCGTCACGTGCAATAGAAGAAACTGTTAACATAGAACTTACGGTTACATTTAGCCAACCTTAAAATGATGATACCTTGGCGACAATCTAGTTCTGCGTTTAAATACATAGATCCAAGGTAGAGTAGAGGAGAGTACCAGGATACAAGAGGGCATGTGAAACGTTGATCTTCTTCTGTTTTATAATAATTCCTAGCTAGGCACAATTACTGATCCAAACGTACCACAGTATTTCTTACACCAAAACAATACATTGTGAGTGTCGATTATTACTACATCCACCATAATATGTCAAAGGCTCTATGAAGTCCTAATTCGTCACCATATGTACAATTTTGTCTGTTGGTGTTGGCGGGCCAATAAAAACTACAAATTTAGAGGAGAGTTCATTAGAAGTATTACCATGAAATAGAAAAGGCACAGGGAAGCAACATCACGGCAGTGGGAAAGTAACTGAAGCCGAGATGGTATGTCAGGGCCTACAACATAGCAGATTCTTCTCTGGGTTATATCAAAGAGCTCTAAATATGAAGGAATTACACGAGGCCATATGTCGCAGCTATATTATAAGTATGGAGGCATGGTGACTTGTAAATGAGATAGTTTCGGACGAGAGGAACTGTCCAGCGCAACACAGATAACCAACTCTCCTAGTAGAAGACTTAGCAATTGATGCTATATAATCTTTCCACTCCATGTCAGCGGAAAACTTTCGCCCGAGAATGGCGTCACTATCGTGGAGGTTAACATTGACCATGCGAATGGAACGGAGAAAGGATTCTCCGCGACGATAAATAGGGAGTTTAATTCATAAAGAACGATGCAAATGCTGAAAAACATATAAATAATTTGATAGATTGCACAAATGACATTTTAGCATGACCCGAAGTGCTACTTGAAATTCTAGAAAAGCTTAATTGATTCGAAGAACATATTCGAACAATCCGTAATATCTACTGAGGAGAAACATTGTAGGTGCGAGCAGAGACCCAATTTAGTGAATACTCAAAAATATAGAAAGATTAGTACAAGACTGTATTTTATCACTGGAATTACTTGACGGATACAGTGAGACTATCAAAAGAGGAAAATAAAAGTTACTAAAATTTATTCTCGACAAATACCTTCAATCAAGATCAGAAGCTATGCATATTATTGTAGCTATAGTATTATTATTATTATTATTATTATTTAATAACATTTTTTACCCTGCACTTTTATAATCATATGTTGGTTCATACTATTGACCTAGGGCAAGTGAAATATATTATTATTTTTGTTTCAACTAATTAAAAACAAACAGCTATTAACAAAAATAACAAAAATAAATGAACACAACCCTTCGCAGAATAGAGGTTGTTCTTGCTAGAAAGACATTTTATATTACCTGTAGATATCGCGCACCAGCGATTTTGTTGATTTATTCTTGAATTCCTTTCTTTATCAGTCCCAAAGCTCCAACCAGAACAAGAATAGTTTCAGATTTTAAGAGCTACATTTCTTTTTCCATCTCCAACTTATAAGGATTGATCCTCGGCTAGAAAAAATTTAGTGATTAGAGAAGCATCAACTTATGTGTGTCTGATTAACAAAATAGCAGTTCTTGGATGAAAATGTCTGTGAATGGAACTTTGTATTTGATTAGTTTTCAAAAAACATTCGCAGATATGTCTTTTGTCACATGGTACATGCATGTCAGTCAGTGCGCAAGGTTTTTCTATTTTGTCTTTAGTAATATTGTCTGGGCGCTTTGCTTGTATTGTTCAATCTGTATTGATAGAAAAATCCCAGAGGATAGTGAAATCTGCTACCTTAACTACATATTCAGGGTGAGGTACAAAACACTATGCAGCAGTTTTATCCCTTTTTATTAGTATTATTAATTCCAATTTAGTTCATTAGATTCACTTATGTACTACCACCCTTGGGAAAGGTATGAATCCATCTCCTCTCCACCCTCACCAACTTTCGGTAAATAGCAGGACAGAATGGGTTCTAAAGTCTTGGGTAGCAATCAGTCTAGAGGAAGAAATAACTCTGAATTCAAACCAGCCTACAGTGGATTGGGCATCCTCAGGATATCTTGCCCAAGACACACCGCTTTTACTGCGGTTTCAGTACAGTGACTTTCTAAGCGTAGGGGGCACCTAGTGAGGATCGAACTCACTACTCCGTGTTAATTGTTCTAGCGAGACAAGCATGCTAACCATTACACCGCTCGAGGTGTCCAGTGGCTTCAATACATGTGGTTCCCTTATAACCCTAATGAGTCACGGAACTCGTAATCGTGATTATTATTATTATTTCTTCATTTACTGTTTTCTTTTACTAGAGTTCACTTAATACAATGCTTAAGAGCTACTCAAGGTAGAGGGCTACTGAATGAGGTATGACATGTGTTGTGGATTCCGGGCTGAAATCCGGTCTCAAATGAATGACAAACGCAGGAATGAAATATAGCAAATAAATGTATTGACGCAATAATAATATTGGTAATACGGTTAGTAAATCCAGAAAAGCGGTTAGTAGCAATAATAATATATATACAGTCTGGGAAATTCAGTTTCGAAGTATGACTTCATTCTGAGTCTACGTTCTCGCAACTGTGACTCCTACAAAGCGGTTACCTAACACTCACTCTCTCACTGTATCACTGCCACTCTCTCGGTATTCACCTTCAGCAGTATAAGTACACACTGGGCGAGTCCACTTGTAAGAGAAAGGGGTGGGCCCCTTAACAACATGAATATAATAACAGGTAGAAGGGAGTAACGATTATGAGGATAATGATGATAGATAAGGATTGACCCTCGACTTGAAAGCTAAGATTTTAGTGATCAGGGAAACATCAACTTATGTGTGTCTGATTAACAAAGTAGCAGTTCTTGGGGAAAAATGTTTGCGAATGCAACTTTCTCCCTGCAGTTAGAATACAGGGGAAAGATGGATGACTCAACTACGTGGACATAGAATAGCAAGTCCGAGCTATAAATGTGTGTACAGCTGTAACTAAAAAATGGAGCCCATCTAAACATTTGTCATGTAAATATTGAAGTAGCGTCTGTGGGGAAAGAGGCTGTTAAGTAGGAACCCAGGGGCGTAAGATGGGGGAAAGGGGAAGGGCAGACAACACCCCCCTCCCCGAGGCGCACCATGTTGGGGCAAAAAATCGCTCGGTAATTGGCAAGTTTATTTCCGGGACTGGGAGTGAATTGTAAAAGAAATGTTCCACTTCTAATATTTTTATAAAAAAAAAAAAAAAAAAAAAAAAAAAAAAAAACAAAGAAAGATGTCTAAAAATCTCGCCTAACTAGACCCAATGTAGCCAAACGTATTTAAATGTGGTGAAAAATTAAGACCAAGTTAGGTTAGGGTAGGCCAAGTTTTAACACATTTATCGGAGAAAATGTCGGGAAATTAATTCAAAAAATGATGAAAGAGGAGCTAAAATTTCCTCCTTTTTATTGACTTTAATATCCTTTTCATGACTGTCCGCAGATATTTATTTCATTAACTGCGCGTCATGAATTATTTTCGCGACGACGTTCAGTAGTTGTTCGATCATGCGCAATGCGGACGGAAGTGCATGCCTGCCAAAAACATGAAATCTGTTAAAGAAACAACAAATTGTTTTCCTTCGATTGAGAACTAATCCATATTAACGTTTTAAGATGTATTCCTGAGATAGTAAACCCTGCGTTAATTTTTTGCTCCTCGCCTCAGTTGGTAGGTCATAGCATTTCAATATTTGAATATATAAAAGATTTAGACATCATGATCTTTTTGTAACTCAGTGTCGGATATAACGTGACATATAGTCTCATATACAGCGTTTTAATGCGGAAACGTTCACGAGTTTTATGGCAGGTTGTTTGTTGAAGACTTCGCTGCAATAATAATGTCATTATTATTGTTATATGATTGTACTACGTCGAGAAACTCAATGAAGGCCTACGAAGTTTATAACACAGAAAACCATGCAACCCCGCTGAGAATATAGGGGAAAATGCTTTATTGCAACGTATGTATTCGGCTAAGTTAGGATAGATTCTGAGGCAAAGAAAACTTTCATTGGATGCTTTTGATCAGCGTTCATATTCTTTTCGTTGCCAATCTGATGAACGTGCATAATATGATAAAATTAAGTATGCAGTATTAACAAGGAAATATGGAGGTTTCTTAAATTTTGTATGTAAATTCCGATAAACTATAAATTCCAGATGATCAACGCGTACAAATAGTAAAAATGGGAGCTAACGATTTTCAGAAGAAGCGATGAGAATTGAAACGGGCAGAAATTATGTGGGTGTCAATCGCAGCTTCACGAATTAATGGCTTCAAAGAAAACTTCGGGATGGATCTACGATTCCGCGTAATTGGTTATTCTCTATAAAAATGATGCAGTGTATTGTTTTTTTTTTTTACCTGTTTATTGTTTTCAACAGTTTCAGTGAACCAAAGCACGGTATTCGGAAAATCTTGTGGATTTCGAAAATGGAAAAAAATGCAACGAAAGAATACCAGGAAAGGAACAGAGAACCCATCACTGTGCGTGACTTCTTGCATGGAATGATTTGAGAGACACATATCAGAAGGATCTACGATTGACAAATACTGAAGCATATAAAGGAACAGAAACAATTGTGAAAGGATCTGATCATGGGTTTTGTATCATTGGTGACTCAACATGTGACATTTTATGAACACCGAGATATCATTGAATCAAGTAATCATCTCAGTAATTTTCTTGTACTCGTTATGCTTCTTAGCAAGCATGACTCTCTGTTGCAGCATCACTTGGATTATGTCAAGTCGCATTTATATTCTGCAACAGTTTTGTCTAGCAAGATACAGAATGAGTTCATTGAGCTAGTGGGCAACGAAAAACGTCAATCTGTCCTACAGAAAGCCAAAAGAAGCATATACTATGAGATTATGTTCGACATTACCTCAAAATTGGAAAGAGATAGTCCTGAGTTTGAACGACTGTCGTAGACAGACGTATGACAATGCTGCAACAATGACTCGGAGATGTTCACAAACGCATATCACATAGAAACCCGAAAGCATTCTTTGTGAGATTTGACAACCTTTCTCGGAACCTGGAATGAGTGCATACAGCATCAGAATACGTGTTTACGATATCATTTTTTTTTTAATTATTGATTCATTGTACAATTTCTTTCACCAATGCGATGGGAGAAATTGAAGGACACAGTAGGGAAGACTGTAAAACGCTATCTATCACTAATAAAAAAAAAAATTCTTGGCACGATGCTCTTCACTTTGGAAAACGAAGTTGGATGATATAGCTAAATTGTTGGAGTATATATCAAGTGACATTTCAATATCAGTCTACACAAGAAGTGACACGAGCTGCTTGCTGCACAACATGCCAACCTTCAGCTTTCTAGCTACGTTGCAGTTTTGGGACGATGTCCTGACTACCATCGACCGAAAGGACTTCAATGACCTAGACTGAACTTTAGTGAAGGCCGAGGTCTGCAGCAATCTGTTGCATACAATAACATATTTAGGATTTAACTGTTCTATTTGTCAGTTTTGTAAATGTTTTGTTAAATCAAGACGCTATTCTATTTGTAAATCTATATATACATCTATTTGCAGGTCGATTGTGAAACTATATATCAGATTATTTGTACATAAATGAATTTATTTTAACACTAGCCTCGCCTAAGGTCGATATTCTCTGTGAACGCACAAAAACCCAGGGTTTTCTTTGAAGGGTTACTTAACCGATTTTGAATTCATGACTTTTGGGATAAAAACTTGGGGAAGCGGTTTGTCTGTCAAAAGACCTTTTCAGTGGTAGAAGCCTCCTTCTGTCTTTTTTACAAATTTTGGTATCTCCGATAATAACTGGTTTATTGGTAGTTCTTGCTGTAACCTTTTCCTGTCGAAAAATGTGTCCGTCTCTTAGGGGAGCTTCATGTCCCGCACCTCCCCTGTTCCCCTATATCTTGTTTTCCCTGATAGCTATAATCTCCAACTATTCAAAAATGTCAATCGACGTTTTCAGATGCCTTGATATTCAACCGTCTCTTAGAATTATCATTCCTTCTTTGTTTTTTTCCAAAAACTTTGCGTGATAGAGGCTTTCTTGCTTCCGAATGTTTAAATACAAAACTTTCATGGCTAACTGCTCCGATGAGGCTTTCCTGGTTCCCAGACTTCGTGAATTTAAGCGCTCAACTCGGCTGGCATCTCGCTCTCATCCTTTCACTGTCGAAACTATTAAATGTAGCCGTCTCTTCTACTCCAATAGTTTAATGTCTCGCGCCTCTCACCTGTGGAACCCCATCCCATTGTCTTGTTTCCCTGATAGCTATAATCTCCAACTATTCAAATGTAATGTCAATGGATGTTTTCAGATGTCTTGAAATATCCCCTATCTTTCTCTTCATCCTTTCCTCTATCACTCCTCTTTGTTCTCGCTCCAAATTTTTGTAACCCCCTTGTGTGCTAGTGGCTTCTCTACCTTGGTTTCCTCATATCATTTAATTACAATACACGGAAGGTTAGCCGTGAATATGAACGGATTTTATTAAAAAATAAGCAGACATAACGCCTGTTACTTATTTAATCAGACATGCCTAAAAGACAATTTGCTGCCTAAATATTTGCAGGCATATATATATATATATATATATTTTATATATATATATAAATATAAAGGACAAACAAAAAAAATAGTATTTGACAAATTGAAAAAGCTATTTTATATATATATAATATATATATATATATATATATATATATATATTATGACAAATTGAGAAATTTAAAGAACCGGAGAGCCGAGTTCGAATTACAGTGGAATCCATTTCATTCATTTATATGCTAATACCTTGGGAAAGTTATGAATCCTCTTCTTCTCCCCCCCCAACTATCGATGAATAGCAGAACAGGCTGGGGTGGCAACTGATCTAATGCAGAAAGAAATAGCAACTTACTGCAAGAAAAAAAAACCGCCTCGTCAGTCGTGAATTGAAAGATATATGATCGCCTAATCATGTATCACGAATGGCACATAACTGATATATATATATATATATATATATATATATATATATATATATATATATATATATATATATATATATATATATATCCCTGAAGATGGTCTCAAAAGTAGATCGGAAGTAATTGGGAAATGGCAAATAAAAAACGATTTTCATAGTTATAGCACATTTTTGACATTATTTAATTGCAATACACGGAAGTTTATTCGTGGTTATGAACGGATTTTATTAGAAATAAGCACACATCATGTCTGTTTCCTATTTAATCAGACATGACTAAAAGAGAATTTACACACACACACACACACACACACACACACACACACACACACACACACATATATATATATATATATATATATATATATATATATATATATATATATATAAAATGTATATATATTTAGAGTAGCTTTACCGGTTTTAAATTTCTATGATTTTCAAAAGTTAAACTGCGATGGAGTGAGAGACGTTTGGATATGCCATGATCTGTTTTGTCCACGTCTGTTTATCTCAATTTACATTTTGAAAATAATAAATCTGAAGCCTATGAATTTATTTTAAATAAATATCTTTAAATTCTCACGTTTCATTTTCAAATTCTTTTTTCTGTATATTTTTACCCGTATCTGATAGTAAAAAAAATCCTTACATTCTCATATATATATATATATATACGTGTGTGTTTGAGCGTGTGTGTGCACGTTAGGTTCGTATTTTCGGTGAAGTTTGTTACGCCGTTTTTTTCGTAAGATACTCACAATTCAGACACAATCTTACAAAATGGTTGAAACCGTGCGAAACTGCGGGTTTATTTTTCATTATACAGCACTGAGAGAAGATCACCTGTCAACAGAAACGAAAACATCTAATTGCCTCGTTTGTCGAACATTTCAAGGGAAAAGGTGGGGAGGCAGTGGAAATAAAATAAAATATATATAATAAAAAGTATACGCCTGAAAACATTAACCAGTATCGATGTAGAGAAACATACGTGCAAAGGAGGTTGAGGCAAGGAGAAAGAGGACGATAGAAAAAGCGGAATGGAAAAGAAAAGCAGCAAGGAAAGTAAAACGGGAAGGAAGAAACAGAGGAAAAAGAAGGAGAGGTTTAAAAAATAGACGGAGATAAGGAAGAGAGAAAAGAGAAATAGGGGCGAAAACGAGGAGGCATAACGTAAAGAAGAAAGGGAAGAGTTTTCTTGTCGAAGCGACAGAGGTTCAAGAGGAAATGAGAAGGAAATAGGGGCGAGGAAAATGGAAGTGAAAGAGAGAGAAATGTGGCGATGAATAATTATACGCAAAGAGAATGAAAGAAAGCAAACTTTTAAAAAAAATATGTAGATATATAGATATATGGAGAAAATAGAAAGACTCTTTAGTAAATGTCAGAGTTTCACACAAATAAACGAATAATTTGTGTTCCGGCATTTCCGCTAAAGGTGACCACCTTAAAAAAATTAGAAATAATAGAAAATGCTTATAAAATACAGAAACAATAATGGCGATATTCTAAACGTAGCTTATAGGCAGCATGAGGCCAAAATTGAGGTGCACCCAGTGCGGGTCTAACTCCCAACTCAGTCGTAATTGATTTTACGAGGCAAGTTAGTTAACCATTGCCCCACGTCGAGACGCCCATATGGTTTCTGAGCGTATCTTAAATGTGATACACTACCGAAAGTGTGGAGGTTCCACTGAGGATCGAACTCACAACTAAATTGCAATTGATCTAGCGATACAAGCTTGATAAACGTTACAGCAATTCGGAGTTCCCTAAAATATAACGACTTATGAATGTAGAAAAAATAATCTGGAAAATAAAAATATATAAATATGTAGGTACAAACAAGGACTTAATCGCATATATATATATATATATATATATATATATATATATATATATATATATGAAATGAATATAAATATAAATAAATATATAAATATATGTATAATTATTTATATATTATATGTCTTAATACTTTTAGGTAGCGCTCAATATCAGAATAATTTATTTTCAGTGACCAAAATCCAGGGTTTTCATCTAGGACTCCAAATAATATATATATATATATATATAAATGAAAGGATGAAAAAAACAGACCAATAAGGTACCATTACAATAATTTATTTCACCAAAATCCTTTTTGAAGGACTCCAACAACGAAATGTAATTTAACAGGGATGGGTGTAATTCTTGTAATTTAACAGTCAGGGTGATCGTTGTAGTGTTACCTGATGATCCGGAGTCCTTCAAAAAGGATTTTGGTGAAATAAATCATTGTAATGGTACCTTTAAGGTGGTCTGTTTTTTCATTAAATATTAGCTCTGGATTCATTGAGCTCTCAGGATTTCATCCTCCTTGGAATTACCCATTCGGTTTACCAAGTTCTTCGTAACTTATATATATATATATAATATATATATATATATATATATATATATATATATATATTGTATATTTAGGCAACAATCCTTCCTTTGTGCATGTTTCATTAAAAACGACAGACAAAGTACTACGGTTAAGCTTTTTATTTAATTTTTCTTGTGTTCTGACAAGAGCTTTCTTTTCTGGAAAAAGGGTGTGTAAGAACTGTCCAAATGTTTTGTATTTCGGAGCGCTTTCGGCTATAACTTTAGCCATTATCAAGGATGATTCGATTTTCAGCTTAATTGAGTGTCTGCATTCTGTGTATGCATTAGTGTGTGGTAGGGATGTTTTTAATTTCCAAATACGGTTAGCACATTGTGGCTTTGTTCGTAGTTAATATTGTTAAGAGTTGGCTTTTTCTTTTTTATTATTAGAGCTTCCATTATTTTTAGTTTTTTTTTTGCAAGTGGATGCAGTTAATATATTTGTGTTTTCTACTAGTATGTTCCTAATGGAATCAGGTATATGTGTGTATTTAAATGGCTTCTAATGGAGCTGTGATCAGATAGGTGTAACGTAAGGCGTCTGCATAAGCATGTAGTTGTGTAACCGATGTAATTATTTATGAGTCCGGTTTGGTCAGGAACACAGTTCCTTAAGGGGCATTTGAACTCATAGATAATGTTCGTTCTTTGTAATTTTGACTTAGCTGGTGTGTTGTTATTTTTGAGGATGAAGTTGGTTGTCTTAATTTTTTTATAATAGATAATAAATTTGTTTTTTTTTATTCGGATCAATTGGGGTAGTATATTTCTTTATAATATGCCTTAGAGAAGATTCGTCTTGTTTGTAATTAATATGTATTTGGCTTTTTGTAATAAATGTGTATGTGATTTTTGGCTGTGTGCTCGCTATCGCTATTATTTGCTTTGGGGAGGAATAGTCTAATTTGGTGGTCTGTAAGTTGGTTAGGGAAGCTGTTGTTGATTAGTGTTTGTTTAACGTTATTAAGTTCTTTAAGGAAGAGTATTTGAGACGATGAGTTCTGGTGTGCTCTATTTAGAAAGTTTTTTATTACAGCTATTTTGTACCTAAGTGGACATTCGCTTTTGAAGTTAAGGTGGCACGAGTTTTTGCTGGTGGGTTTTTTGTATAATGATGTAATGAAAGTGTTATCGCTGTATTCAACGAGGACATCTAAGAATGGAAGTTTGTTTTTTTGACTAAGTTCATAGGTAAAGTTAAGGACGGAGTTTTTCTCAAATGTGGTCTTAAGTGTCTTTATTTCTTTAATGTTATCAGCTAAAATAAAAATATCGTCTACGTAGCGAACATATATTTTCGGTTTGCGGACATGTGTAAATATAGTATTTTCTACGTAGGTCATGTCATAGTTGGAAAAGCATGGACCGAGTGTATTTGGTTGTAAATATTATCATTATGGTCATAGAATGGGACTTTGGTTGCGCATGCGTGTAGTAATTTTTTTTAGGATGGATGGTTTGATAGATGGCCGAGGGATGGAATTATTATTTTATACAGAGTTAAGAATAATGTTAATAGTTTGGTCGACGGGGACGTTTGTAAATAAGTTTTCGACGTCAAGTGACGCTATTATAGCTTTTTTTTTTTTTTGCAGTTTTTAAAATTTGCAGGAATTCGTGGGTGGATGTGATGCTGTAATTGGTAGGTAGGTATGGAGTGATGATGTCGTTCAGGAATTTTGCTAGTTCGTAGATAGGTGTTTGTATCTGGGAAATAATTGGTCGTAGCGGGTATCCTGGTTTATGGGTTTTTATGTTTGCATATAAATATCTGGTTAGTTAAACATGCATATATATATATATATATATATATGGTTATAAATATATATATATATATATATATATATATATATATATATATATATATATATATATATATATGTGTGTATATATACGCATGTGTTTATTTATTGTTTGTATATTCTTTTACTGATACATACATAAGATTGCTCTATCTTCTATTTAGTGAGTTATGTGCCATGCGTGATACACGCTTAGCCGATCATGTATCTCTCGATACATGACTGACGAGACATGCTTTTTTCCCCGCAGTAGGTTGCGATTTCTTTCTACGGTAGGCTAGTTGCGATCCAAGGCGACGGAACCCGGTCTTTCCTGCTATTTACCCATAGCTGGGGAGGAGAAGAAAAGTACTCATACCTTTCCCAAGAGTATTAGCACGTAAGTGAATGTAACGGATTTTCTATTACTTTATGTAAATGCAGGGTGCGATGGTTAAATTTTCGTCTATATTACGCAAAAATGAATATATCACAGATGTCTCATTTTAACAGATATATTTACCAAAATTACATAAAAAATATCTTGAAATAGTAAAGAGTAAAATTATTCAATAAAACTCACCATTGTGTTCAACAAAGGCCGACGGACGACTTCGGAATCTCTTGTAACTCTTCTCGACGGTCTCCTTGTTTAAGTTGGTGTATAATACTTGCCATAATACTTGCCTTCAGTTCATCTTTGATGTTACAAGGAGCTTTGTTGGTCTCTCGTTGAAACTGCGTTCCCCCAAATAATAATCAAAGGAATTGTAAACTGTGGGATTATATGGCCAGATGCAAGGAGTGATGTGGTCGTAGAAATTATCTAACAGCCATGATTGGGTTCTCCTGCTTGTGCGGTATGGTACAAATCATGTTGGCAGACATCGTGTCTTGCAGCAGCCACCCTCTTGACACAGGGCAGCGCGAAAACCTCAAGGCACTTGAAGTAGTCATTCCTGTTGAGTATAATACCCTTTGGAATTTGATCACTGAAAACACCTTCGTAATAACTATTAAACTCATCCAAATCTTTTCGAATGCTCTGGACTGTTCTAACATTGATACAAAAAACACTCTAAAATGTTCGAATTGGAGCTTCCGACGCGAATGCCAAATAATACAGCATGCCGCTTCCAAATTTCTGGCGGAATGAATTGTGTGATGGTGCTCTTATTCTCAAAGACGGTGCCCAACGGACCCTACTAAACTGTGCAATAGACAGTAAGCTCTGTTCCATCTTCAAGCGTAATTTTTTCGAAAAAAAAATTCGCTTAGTACTTTAATTCAATTTAATTCAAATAATTATATTTAAGTTTTCGGCTCTCGTTTTGATACATGAGACATCTTGTGAAGCGTGTTGGAATCATATTTTAAATAAATATTTTATTTATATATATATATATATATATATATATATATATATATATATATATATATATTGCAACAATGTATACACACTTTAGGAAATGAAAATATGTATAGATGTTGTAATGTTAAATTTATTCAGGTATCACGTGATTTATATAAGTTAGCTATGAAGTACACTATCAAAAGAGATGCTCAAAATGGTGGCCTTTAGTTTCTAGACATTTATTAGTATGGAGAACTACTGCTTGGCAACGTTGGCTGAATTGTCCAGTGGGCTTGTTGAACGTTTCTTTTCTACGGAAAGTCCATATAGACAGTTTATTGAGATACGCAGCATCTTTTAGGAGCACATATAGATCAAAATTTAAAAACTGTGAATGGCATTTTTTTTTCCTGAAGTGTCTATACATTTGCTTTGGGGGAGTCACTTTCACTCTTTCCCCGCTCTTTCTCTCGATATATATATATATATATATATATATATATATATATATTCTGGAGGCACTTTACATCGGGTCCCATTAGCCTTCTTTGTGTAAACAACGTGAGTATGTTGGGGCTCGCTGTCATTTGCCTCTAGTTTCTTTTGTTATTTTATTTTATTTTTAATCTTTTCCTCGCATAACTTCCTTTTATTGTACATTTTTCTGCGTTAATTTTAAATTAAATCTCCCGTTGAAGCCTGAAGAGCGGGAGGTAAACCGGTTGCTTCGCCCGTTTTTAATATGTCTCGTGTAAGTTCCTTTCATATGTCTGATAAGCTTAATCAAATTATCGTTGAAAGTCGAAAGGAAAACACCATATTGATACATATTAAAATCCAATCTACGCTTGCGGCTTACATAAGTTATTATCAAAGATGACAATTTCAATCAATGATACACACACGGACAAAACAACAATGATAGTCTGCCCTTGCTGCAGGAAAAAATTTCAAGTAACGACACACTCGTATATACGAGACGCGGAAGCGAAAATCGAGAAGTATTAAGTATGAGAAGCCGTTGGTATAAACCAATGACTTCTATTATAAATTATAAGCATTTAAGGATATTTGTGGAGATTTCATATTTTATTTTGCTCAGGTTAGGTTTCAAATGTTTTATGTATAAAGCTCCAAGAATTTTTAATGTTTAAGAATAGTTATGTTGTTAACAAGGATTTTCTGGAATTGCGGGTCTTTTCCTTGAACATTATGCAGAAAATAAATACGATATTGCAGGAGTTTAAAAGTGTTTTCAATTTTTTTTTCTTCTTCGGGCAGTGTATCAAAAATAGGAGCATATGAGCTAACAGAGAGAACAACAGTGATATCGGTGGGGGTAATATAAAATCTAACGGACGCTAACGAATTTATTTTAAAAAAAGGCTTTTGCTTATCAAGCAGTCATTAATGGTTTTAATACAAAAACACACACACATACACACGCAGAGTTTTTGATTCTAATGTGAAGACGATAACGTTGGTCACGGAGATGAAATTCGTTATCATTAAAAAAGATTTTGTTTAAAAATAAAGATATGCGATTGAAGCAATGCTAGCGCAGTGCATATATTATACGCAGATTACTGGTGTGAAAAAAGAAACATTTGTATTTAAAATAGACATCATTTATATTTAAAATAAACAGAGATTAATGGTTGTATTTTATATTTTAATGATGTGAGTTTATTAATATATACTTGATAGCACTCAATGTGCTATATATATATATATATATATATATATATATATATATATATATATATATATATATATATATATATATATCCATGTATATGATTGGTGTATACGGAATAAATTCCAATAACCAATAATTACTATTCTTAAAAAGAGTGCTCAATAATTGTTTT